CAAAACTGATCAACCGATTAGAAGAAATATTTAGGAAGAAAATGTGAAATTTACACCTATATTATATATATATGCGTCTTAATAAACAGTCAAACGGACTCTGGCGAGATTTTCTATTATTAATAATTTATATATCTCATATAAGGTACCTACAACATAGGTCATATGTATAATTACTAGATTGTTGTTTTTTATACAATTATTTACAAATTATAAAGAAAAGTATTTATCTCACTGTTTTCTATTAAAAAAAGACGCCGGCATTAAAATTAAAAAAAGGCTGTCAAAGTTAAGTTTATAAGACATTATAGCTGCCGCAAGTGGTGCACATTTAAATAAAACAATTTGACGGTTTTAAACGCGAAATATATTATACATCTTATTAACTACCACCTGCCAGTTTAGATAATTCACTGCTATAAAGAGCCATAAACAGCAATATTCGAAACTTGAATGATATCACGTTTAAACCGTTATCTCTGAGTTGTTAAATCCTAGCAACCAATCAATTTATTTTCAGCTTGTTCAATATATAGACACACAGTACTCTAAGCGACTAAATGAAAAACTCATAGTATAGTAAATTTACAATATCAATATTGTATACCGTGAACAAAAATATTTCGACAAGCTATTGTTGACAGGTAATTAAATCAACGGGTCGTGGGTTCGATTCTTACCGGGTCCAATATTTTACTAATTAATTTATAGTTTTTCTGAAACAGACGTCGTCTGGAAATTTAAACAAATTGTGTCGGCGTTAGGAATATCGAAACCCTTCATGGTCGCGACGTTCGCGCGTTTCGGTTTTAATCTGGAAATTTCCGAATATCCAAAGCCAAAAAAGGACGACAGCACATATTTTTAAGATGGTATATGGCTATTTCACCAACTATTAAGTATATTCCATGTCTGTCCTCTATTACACAAAAACTCAAACTCCAGCGAAATAAGGCGAAAAAGCAAATTAAAACACTAAATTACTAATAAAAGATTGATGAAGCCTCTTGAATCTTGACTCGTATTTGATGTTGAGAGCACCTGATTGTAGATAGACCACGCCTGACAAGTGTGTCTAGCTCTCTATACACATTTTGACCTAGTGAACGTTGAAAAGCTCTCGAGAAACGAATTTTGAGAGCATATACGTTTTAGTTCGGAAATAGAATGACGTCTTTGCTTATTCGAATTTTGAATTAGATCGGAATGACATTTGCTTATAAATCCTATCTGTAATTTACGCAAGTAGTATACATTTAAATAAACACTTCAACAGTTTAAAACGCGATATATATTAGTCAAACGGGGAGACAGTCTCTCCGCGACCACGGCCGCTGCAATACATCCGAATCGTTGGGCCGTAGTTAAAATAATTATAACTAATATATATCGCGTTTTAAACCGTTAAAGTGCTTCATTTAAATGTGTACTCCTCTCATAAACTACAGACAGTATTTAACGCCATGTTTGTCTATCTTTCTCTATCATAAAAAACATTGGTTTGCCACTGGACCATTGGACCATCAGCTGAATTATGTTTCCCCATCCAACGATCGTTACAAACACGTTTGCCCCATGACAGATCATTGCGTGCGACGTTGACTAATGTAGATCTGTGGTTTGGCCAAATGTTAGTGTAACATGTTTTATTACTCTCCTCGTTCTTATAACATCGCCGTTGACCTAGAAACCCAATTACTTATCTCGCTCTTTATTCGTCCAATAATAAAACAACAGAATCATTTAATTATTTACGATTGTATAAATGTGTCACGGGCAGGACTCGAAGCGACGACCACACAATAGATACATTGACGAGACGTTGGTCTCCTGGTAGTGATGTATGGCTAATAATCAATCACGGGTTCGAGTCGCATTGGGACCAAAGTATTTGAATGGAAACCTGTTATTATAAAGTAAAAGAAAATAAAGTATATATGGCTTTTATTGTATTCACATCTTTTGACTAACTGTATTGTAACAAGAAGTGTAACCATAGCAACTACATAATATCTTCTTAAGAATGTTGAGTGACTTATGAAGGAGTATTTATAACAGAACCTGCATAATAAATGTGTCTGGGTGGTAGGAATATCGAATATTCCGTCCGAGTCGCGAACCACCATCCACCAGATGAAAAAGCCATGAAGTTAATTTAGAATTTAAACGAATTCTGGTTTCAGTCTGTAGATTTCAGAATATACAAAGCCAAAATAGGTAGGTAGCGCAACTTCAGATATTATATGGGTAAAGTTCACGTTCTATCAAGTGAACTCAGCCTTGCCCTTATATAAAAAAAGGAAACATAATTTAAACGACTAGCTCTACCCGCAACTTTGTCCGCGTAAAATATATATTTTGGGCATCATATTTATTTCTGTTTTCTTGAATCGCTATCGCATCCCTCAAAGATAGATAAATTTCTCAGTATTTCACATTTCAACCTTTTCTTCGCTCCTATTCATTGGGTGATGTTATATAGCCTAAAGCCTCCAATTCCAATTAGAACCAGTACTTCCTGAGATTAGCGCGTTCAAACAAAGTATTTAGCTTCATAATATTAGTATAGATATTTTCAGGAACTGCGTGAACCAATAGAGAAATAGAGACCCAGTGAATGTTCGTTTCGCTACCCGTTCAATTAATTTACCTTTCAACTCTAAGATCAAAGGCAATTGAATCAAAGACAAATATAAGAACACAAAGCGTAAACCATGATTAACTTCCATTCATTAAACCCAATTTATCTTTTCGTAGCGAAAGAATTAGGGAAAATGATAAAGAAGCCATAATACTGCCTTTTAGCCTTTGATTTTACCATTTCTTTGACAGTGTATTTGGGGGAAATAAGATAATGGCACGAGATGTTCTATCTCACAAATTTTAAGATATTCTCTTTTTATACGGAGACAAAAGCATCAAAGAAATATATAATAGGACAAAATATTATGTAATTATCGTAAACATAACACACATAAAGAATTTGAAAATCGAAAATAAATTGAAAAAATTTTCGACTCGGGCAGGACTTGAACCGGCATCGTTAGCTTTCCGTGCTGTTTGCTCTGTTGAAGTATTCTATTCTATTATATTCACTACTCTACTCTGCTCGAGCGAAATTATTGTTCCCCGGATTTGAACATAGGGCCTCTTAAAATTAATATTATGTGTATATTGGATGGGTTATGTGGCCACAGAAGCGGTGAATTATAATATATACAGATTGTATGCCCCAAAATCCCAACGTCACCAAACGGTAGAAGCTTCTCCGCTTCCAAGATGCGTGTAAGCTGATTGATCTCATAAAAAGCGATCAATCTCATTACTGACACAGGGGTGGTTGCGTTTGATCATGAAAAATAATGACGTCACATTTTCTACCCCACCAAGTAGATTATATTTTTGTAAATTTATTTGAAATATGCACAGACGGTACAAAGTCTATATCTATACTAATATTGCAAAGCTGAATTTGTTTGTTTATTTGCACGCGGTAATCTCAGCAACTACTAGTTCGAATTAAAAATGTGTTGGATAAACATTTATCGAGGAAGGCTATATACAATCACGTTGCGAACAATAGGAGCGAAGAAGTAGTGGAAAATGTATAAAAAACGGGAAAAATTATTCATTTGTGAAGGCTTATGTATGAATGTTTGCCACAGTATATGACACTTTAACGGTTTGAAACGCGATATATTAGTTAAACTTATTTGAAAATGATTTTTAACTTCGGCCCGATGTTTCGGATGCTTTGCAGCAGCCGTGGTCACGGGGAGACAAAACATCCGAAACGTCGGTTGAAATAATTTTCAAATAAGTTTAACTAGTATATCGCGTTTTAATACGTTAAAGTGTTTTATATAAATGACTACTACTCGCGTAAACTATAGACAGTATTTAATATATTTCGCATTTTAAGCAGTTTAACGTAGTCAATACCTAGTTGTAGAAAGGATGTGAATAGGCAGTATTTAATTAAAACTTCTTGACAAAATGCTGTATAAATAAAACGCTAAACGCTTTTAATACAAACGTATTGAATTGTTGCTACTGTTAAAATTTAAAAGTTACTATAGTTCATAGACAATGTAGACATACAGATAAAGTACAATGTGAATCTTAAGAACGACAGATACTTAATATAAAAGTACACATTTAAATAAAACACCTTAACGGTTTAAAACGCGATATATATTAGTTAAACTTATTTGAAAATTATTTTAACTACGGCCCAACGTTTCGGATGCTTTGCAGCGGACATGATCAATTTTCGCGCGGGTATTTTCAAATAAGTTTAACCAATTTACATCGCGTTTTTAACCGTTAAAGGGTTTTATTTAAATAAAAGACCTCCGTTCTTGGGCACATTACCATCAGAATTTATATCAATCTTACATATCACTACGCTTTCGTCTGCGTGAAATAGCTATACTTAGTATAGCGATGTCGAAGATAATTTCTTATTTAAATAAAACACTTTAACGGTTTAAAACGCGATATAATCGTTATCATTCACAATTATATACTCTTGATCAACAACACAATTAATTGGATAAAGATTAATTTATATTAATATTATAAACCGGCTCTGTAGCTTATTGGTTAAACATAATACCTTGTATTGCGCTAAGCGCGAGAAGTCCTGAGTTCGAATACCGCGGAAACAATAGAATGTTTCGGGCAGGGCACAGAAGTTTAATCAATAACATGCATAAAGATTAGTGAAACAAATCTACCTTTTTGTAAGCTGAAGAGTTTTTTAAATGCGTTAATTTCAGGATGTACGAAGTCGAATTGGGAAAATATTTATTAAACAATAGTTAAAAAAACTACTTTAAGACCTGTTAATCTGGAAGCGGCTACAAAATATTGTTGCTTAATAAAATTTGATTTATTTTCGTTTGTTTCAGGTACAAAACATGAATATTTGATACAAGTGTATGTTTTAAGTGAAAGTGGTAGTGTATAATGTGTGTTTGAGAGTCGCTCTCAGCAACATGTCATCAAGAACAGGCCAGCGTGGGCCGTCCCTGTCCACGAGTCAACGCAAGCACCGGTCTAGGTCTGCCCCACGGTATGATCTCGAGAAGAAACCGAAGAAGAAGGATGTAAAGTCATCTGGCACAAGTAGTCTTGTGTCCATCCCAAATAGCATTAAGTTGACTATGCTGAACAGCGGCCTTATTTCGTTTGGTAAGTGCATTTTTATTCAACATATATGTTGAAACCTGGGTACTGACCAAAAGCTCGTATTAAACTGGAAGCACCGTTGCAATGTATTTTTCAATTACTACATCGATACCAATATTTTAAATTTGAAGAGTTCGTTGAAACGCCGTAATCTGGGGAACTACTGGTTCGAAAAATAAATATTATGTTAATTAGACCATTTATCAAGGCAGGTTTCACGCTTTAAAACATTTGGCTACGGTCAATAGGAGTGAAGAAATAGAGAGAAACGTGAAAAGGGGGAGGAACACTTTAACGGTTTAAAACGCGATATATTAGTTAAACTTATTTGGAAATGATTTTTAACATCGGCCCGACGTTTCGGATGCTTTGCAGCAGCGGTGGTAACGGGGAGAAATAATTCATCTTTGAAAGTTTACGTTGCGTGTGCTGCGAAAACGGTTAAAGATACCCGATAAAATTTAATAATTTCTTGGAATAATTTTATAAATGTTCGCGACAGTATATTCTGTCTATCTTTTAACATTAACTCACACTTTTTATTTAATATCTATAATATATATGGGAATCTAATTTATTAATACTCCATATGGCATTTGCCAGGTCAGCTACCTATTTTATATACATAATTATTTTATACGTTATATCACTACTCATATCATACAGAAAAATGTAAACATCATTTAAATAAAAAAAAGAACTACCCTCTCCCGCTCTCTATATTTAGTTTATCTTTATTTAGTTCATGTAATCTCTAATATGGATTATTTTGAATACAGTATTTAAAAATATACACTTTTACGTTTATAGACTGGGTACTGACCAAAACCTCACGAAGTAATGAAGCATTTGTAAGCATTTGGTCAGTTTCCAGGCGTAGTCGTGTTTAGTATAAAAACAGTTGTTTCGTCTTTATATATATTTACCAAGTATTCTTCCTCAAAAAGTATTAGTATTAAGGTAAATGAAACTAACCTCTCAGTAACAATTAAATATTGAAATAGTAATTTCAGTACGCAATGCGTTACGTAAAAAAACAGTTCACTTATAAAAATATAGAACTTTAACAAATACCGTAATATGTCGCCATGCCCCAAGTGGAGGACAATTAACACCTAGGCACCCTATTTATAGATTGAGCGGCAATGACATTGTTCTAAAACAGCGCAAAATAACACGGCGATGTCGATGGCCGGGACTGAGCTAACACGAAACTAGGAAATAACCTATTTACTAATTACGTATTTTTCTTATTGATAAACTCGTTGATTTAATATTGGCTATGTATGGCTAGTCATCAATTACGGCTTTGATACCCGATATAGATCATATTTTTCTCATGTTATTGCACACGGTGGCACGATATAAATTAAAAATCGAATGCGCGAGAGGGGAATGTATAATGGTTTGAAAAAAAAATCGATGATGACGTGTAGGACACGGTAGCTTAATTGGTTAAAGCAACAGCACGGGACGTTGTATATGCCGGTTCAAGTCCTACCCGTGTCGTAATTTAAATAAAACACTTTAACGGTTTAAAACGCGATATATTAGTTAAACTTATTTGAAAATGATTTTTAACTTCGGCCCGACGTCGGATTACTTTGTTGTAATTTGGGATATTAAATCGATGTCTATCTACAATCCGTGACGTTTAATCGCACGTCAATCTGTGGTTTTCCTCATATCTAAAGTTAAAATAGGTCAACAACACAACTTGTTGAGAAGTTGTATACTTTACATTCTATAGAGTAACCGTCATGCTTGTCTAACTTCTCCTATTATAAATAAAAAATATCACAAAAAGATATATTGTCTATCGCCTATATCTCTCATTTAAACAGTGAGTTTTAAAAACAGATCCGTTGTCATAACAACACGTATTATAAAACCTCCATAGTCCCATTTTCACAAAATTATTATTTTTGTATCTCGCACTGCGCCGGGTGTTTCTTATATTGCAAAACGAGTACGTGCGACATTCATTTTGTACAGAAAATACTAACAGAAGTGAATGTATTTCTAGTCTGAAAACTATATTATTTTTTACATGTTATTGCACATGAAGGCACTATATAACTTAAAAATCGAAATAAATTGAGAAAAATTTCGACTCGGGCAGGACTTGAGCCGGCATCGTCAGAGTTCCACAACGGTCGAGCAACAGCACGGTTCAAGTCCTGCCCGAGCCGAATTTTTTTTCAATTTATTTTCGACTTTTAAAAATATTAAAGTTTTCAAACGTTATTATATGTGATTAAAAGCACTTAAAACAATTAATAAGTTTGTAAAATAATAAGTATAAAAACATATTGTAGTACATTGCAGAAAAAAGCGTTTTCGACACACAGTAGACTAAATCGAACAGAATCGCAGCATTCCTTATCAATACGCAGCTTCTAAAATAGATAGATTTTCCACTGCGACGCACTGTCGCTGTTGAAACCTCGATTCTATTTGCATTCACTATTGACGTTTCCTTTTAAGGATTTCCCTTGCTTTTCCTAACTTTTATATTCCTTTTATGTAATTATACTGATTAGCTAATTTCTGACTTCTGTTAAATAAAGTAAACGTTAGTATAACGGTAGCAATGTATGGCTAATAATCAACGGGTTCGATCCCCGACGGGCCCAACATGTTTCAAATAAATTTATATACACGTTGAGATGGTCTGGAAACCTGGAATAACGAAATTCCATCCGGGTTACGAACCATCGACCGCAAATGAAAAACCATGAAGTTTTATTGCGTTACGGTTTCAGCCTGTGTTTCCGAATACATCCAAAACCAATATAAGTCGACATCACATCTTGTTTGAACTGTCACATCGCTATTAATTAAACTATTTTAATGCTTAGATCTTCTCCACTATACAGAACTAACCATGGTTTTATAAATAATAACCTAGCTGGTGCCCGCGACTTGGTCTACACAGGATTAGGATTAGGATTACGTAGTCTGTCATAGATGTCTATCATATCATACATTACATAATTATGCTTAACTAACGTTTATGGCAGCGCACGCCAGAGTAGCTCGCAGGAAGGTAGCTTTTTCCTAGTTTCCTGACAATGTCATATTTTGGACAGCTCACACAACATCTTTATAAATTGTGGCCTATGTGCTATTCTGATGTATAAGCTATATTATTGGAAAGTTTAATTGAAATCTATTCAGTAGTTTTTGAAATAGTAACAAACATCCATTCACACATACAAACTTTTACGTTTATAATATTAGTAGGATAAAACATTGTTTGATTTCGATTAATACAAAGGCTGGAATGTTTCGTTTTTATTAACTAAAAACCGTCGGTTCGCGGTTTCGTCCCCAAAGCATTTTGTATGTTAACCATTATTGCTTATTTTAAAAAGTAGGTAAATAGTCTAGCAATCTAGACATTCTTTTTTATTAAAGAAATACAGTATGAGTTATGAAGACAAATAGAGTGAGATAAAGATAAAAAGGAAAGTTTCTCAGCTGAGTAGTAAAAGGTTTAATTAAATATTAAGAAAGGACTCGGACGTTGCAGCATCCAAGGCGGATTTTTGTAAAGATTCTTTACAAAGCTTCAGTTGAGTACTTGAAATTGTTTAAGTTTGAGTTCTACTGTATTACTGTTGTGATTATTAAACGGAAAGTTAAGGAAACAAAATGGCGCCGCGGGTCCACATTTTTTATTTTAAGTTAAAAATTACGCAATAAAAATTCGCTTTTTCCTTTCAATTGATTTTTTGTGATAGACGAGGGAAGACAAGCATGGTGGCAAGCAAATGTCTATGCAGGATGCGTTGTCGATCTTTGTTGGTTTCGGATATTCGGAACTTGACGGCTTTTTTCATCTGTGGACGGTAGTTTGTTAATCCTGCCTATTTAATATCCAGATTTTCAGACAAAATCCAACATGTGTCAGAAATTTTTTACAGTGATTAGAAAAATGTTGAAACCCGTGGAAATCGAACCTATGACTTTTAGACCTTTGATTATTAGACATACATTAAATACTGTCTATAGTTTACGCGAGTAGTACACATTTAAATAAAACACTTTATCGATTTAAAACGCGATATATTAGTTAAACTTATTTGAAAATGATTTTTACCTTCGGCCCGACGTTTCGGATGCTTTGCAGCAGCCGTGGCCATCTACCCGTGACCACAATAAAAACTACAAATCTCCTCCACTCATAAAAATTACAAATAATAGAAATAACAAGGAACTATTACTTTAAAAGGGGCTGAAATAAAATCCATTGATTCTGGAAAATCCCAGAAATGCATATTTACCTAAAAGCATTGGATTTTCTAGATGCACCACAGCTTAACAAAAGTAAACAGTGGGATTCAATGTATTATTCTACGTAGACATGAACCTTTTTTATAAAATTGTTCTCTGTTAATTCTATAATCAACACTTCCTTTAGCTTTATTGTTCTGTACTTCTTATAACTAGTTATTCTTCTTATTAATTGAATCACCGCCAAATTCAGAAAACATTATATTAAGAGGCTAATAAATTAATAAACTAGCTGATCCGGCAAACATTGTTTTGTTGTATAATAATTAATAATCTCATTATTATAACATTGGAACAACACTAACAAATAATAGTAATAATGCATTAATTTCGGCCCAACTATAACTATAAAAACGGTTCTTGCGAGTTACTCTTAAAGTTGGCCATATACTATCGCGGCTATTTTTTGGATCGTGTAATATTAAAATAAAAAAGGAATCATTCTGACATACATATCTTTTCGTTTGAATTGTTTTAGCATCACACCCAACGGAGGCCCTTAAATATGATAATTTTCCCCGTTTTTCATTCCAAATTTCCCGCTGTTGTTTTTGCTCCTATTGGTCGCAGTCTGATGTTTTTATAGCCTTTTTCGATAAATGCTTCAATCAACACGAAAGCAATTTTACAACTCGAACCAAAGATAGATAGATAATTGAGAAATAACATACAAAGTATGTAATAAGACAAATAATTCATAAAAA